CTACTAACTACTAACTACTACTACTACTACTGCTACTGCTACGTCTCTACACTGGTCTGACTCAAAACCGATGTCTTTTCTTTATTTTCGTGTCGTGGGAAATAGAAGACATGTATGATCATGCAAGAACTCTGACATTCTCTCTTTGTCCGTTTGACCCAAGAGGTATGACAGAACCAGGCTCTTAGGCACATCCAATCTCTAGGGGCTTCACTGGACCTTGGACAGAGCCTGGCTAGCCATTGCTGAAATGTCTCTCCGAATCCTTCAGGCAACGGTCTGATGGAGAGGCCGTGTGGTCGACGCGTGTTGGACACAGCGACACCTGAAAGGTGAAAGGACGAAGGAATGACAAAAGAAGCCTAGACAAGGCGTTGTGGGTAGGTGGGTGATTGATCTTCCAAGGCATACCGGGTTTTGGATATGATGTTTGGATAGATGCGTATCAATGATTATCAAAGTAAGTCGCCAGACACATAGCGATGAATGGCTGTAATGCAAGGTTTCACTATCGATCCGTCCTAAGAAACTAGAGCTATATATTCGTGCCAAACCAGCAAATTCCAGAACTAATCAGGACCAAACAGAGGGGAGGGTCGGGCGCACTGTGTATCATTCAACACAGAGGGTCCCAGAAGTGTTTCAGAGGCCTTGTTGAAGGAGACCCTGCCAAGTCACCTCTTTGGAGCGGTCTCTTGCCTTCTCAGCGGTCTCTTGCCGATGACTTCCCAGAGATCGATGACTTTCTTAGATTCCCTTCTGCTGATGCGTGCACATGCGCAGACTCCCTTGTTTGTCCCTGATGACTCTTATGACTCATGACGCACCAAAGTGTCTCGCCCAGGCCGTGGAAGCACCAAGTGGGGTCAGTTTGGGCGCCCTGACACGAGTGACCAGGTCGTCCAGCAATCACACGTCAACAAGTCAAAAGGAATTGTCTTGACCACTGAGACAAGAAGTACAAGTATTACGATATGAATAGACATGGCATGTGTTTTTGTTTGAATGATCATCAGGTGGAATGGTCTGAATATGCCATTCATTTGTGGAAGCTGGTTCAGTTTCGCCAGTGGATGTCACTGAAGATGGCTTGGATCGCATTATTTCCCAGGCGCTTCGCTGCGGGCAGCGGCTGCATTGTCACCTCATCGAGGCTTTTGCCACGAACTTGGCTTTTCCCGATCTGCGATCGACGCGGAGATGGCCGACCTGGGCTGACACCGGGCTGTGGAGATGTTTGGGCTGTGGAAGATCTTGTGTTTCACAATAAAAGATACTCATGTAAATTCGGTTGAATGTCATCAACTCTCAAATGCCGGGCTTGGAAAACACTCACCTTCTCAGCTTCTCTTAAGAATCAGACGGCTACAGCAGGTAAAACAAAACACCTGGTCACCACACCCTGCAATAGTGGACACCCACTGATGTCGGAACTTGGAGAGAACAAGGTGTCCCCAAGGGTCGGAACAGAGATGCGAATTCAAATACCCTGAATTGGGTGAGTGGGTGATTCAACTTGAATGTGTGAGCTGACATCCAAACAGCATGTTCTATAAATATGTATTGCGGAACGCATTGGGTTCCCCACGGGTTCACTCATCGCATCGAACATCGTCCTGGCGCCCGAGATCACACGAGCTCGCCACAAAGGCGGCCTGAGGGATGAGGGATCGAGGAATCGAACACAAATGATGAGAGGATTCTATAGTACTAGTTGTCATAAGATCTACAAGTTGTCAGCAGGTTTGAGGCATTGAAGGTCTTCTAGTAATCTTCTAAAACCCATTCGGGAGTGAGAACATCACCTGGACCTGTGAGAAATCCTGGCTGTTGAAGAAGCATCGCTTGGTCCGGCGCCATCCCAAACCCTCTGACGCGGATGACAGCAGTCAGATGACGCGTCATTCGAAGGTGTGAAGTCTTGGCGCTTTCGGGGTCTTTTGACAGATGTAATTTGAAGAAGTCATGCAATTGCATCATTAAACAAACATGGTTTGACACTTTAATGACTTACCTGTATGAGTAGTTGTATGATTGCACAACTAATTGCAACATATACAGTACAGTACTTTGATAAAATAAGCATTGTCTTTGCAACTTGTGTACGTGTTTTAAGCAACAGGTTTGTGGTTATGTCGCTTATAAGACAATTATAATATAGTATGTGTTTCTTGATGCTTTGATTCATCAGCTGTTATGTATGTTGCCACTCGTTTGAATTTTTCGTGGCCCCTCAGCGAGGCCGCTTCGCCGGGCTCAGGCTCTCGGAGTTCACACTTCGGGATGAATTGGGAATTGGTTTGTGATATGAGGCAGAACTTGATCAAGTCTAGGTGTAGTGATCCGACATTACATGAAGAGTAATGATTTTGGTGGCCATGGACCAGGCACGATCTATGTTTCAAGATGAGTCCGAGTCCATGTTTTGGGATGTTTTTGGTGCCGAACATGGGCTCTCCCCCGACACCGACTGGCCAGACCACCAGCGCGCGCCTCGCCTGGGCCCCCGCCGCGGTGCCAATGCCAGGCAAAAGCGTTGGAGGAAGTGGCTGAATGTTTGTTACAGGAGATCCATTGGAGTTCAATAGGCTTTAGAATGCTTTGTATGGCGCCTTTGGGCAGCCCGGACCGGCCATCCGGACATTAGTCTTCTTGTTTCATTTCAAGATGTGGATGAGGAGATTGAGAGCATCCAGTGGAACCGATAGGTCTCGCCAGCCAGAAGGAGAAGCGTCAAACTGGTGCTTTGTGGCCCAACTTCACTTTTGTTGTATGAACCTCACTGTCAAAAAGCGCCTCACAACTAGATACGGGTATTAGGCTTGGCTTGATTGAAAAAGACACGACCTGCAACCGGGGAAAAGAAGATCCTGCGGATCGGTCCGCTCCGGTAGTTCAAACGGGTCAGAGGACACGACTGGTCAAGGCTGAAAGGGGCCAGTTCTGGCCGATATCATTGACATTCGAGCATAGATATCATGCCAAAACATCCCAAAGCCACTGTCTTGTGGAATTGGAAACAAAAAGAAGCAAAGAGCTGTTTGGATATGTTGGATATTCATAGGACAATAGACTCCAAAAGCCCTTAACACTAGATCCAAGAGACCAAGAGATGCAAGAGAGGCTGGCTTCAGTTGAATCATGTCCAGCATTTCCCCGTGTCCACCAGGGATTCCCTAGTTTGGTCTATCCTTTCATCTTTCGTCGAATTCTCCAGTGTTCATTCCGATTTGTGATCACGCCCTGGGACAACATGGCTCAACATCACTGGTGAAGCAGTGGGTCATGTCATTTCTTCCACCATCATGTGAAGCCGATTTGGATGTCTCTTCCAGGTGATGAGAAGCCGGATGCTCCGCCGGAGGTCCAGTGCCTGTCGGTATCCGGCCTACGATGGGCCATGACGCCACAAGGGGGACGAGCCACCAGAATGACACCATTTGGAGGGATCAACAACACTATGGAATGCTCAATTTTGCAACTGTGCCCATGTTTTTTGTTTCTTCAGTGGTTTACTTGCTTGCTGCCAGCAATTCTATGTAGAATCAGGTACATTATATGTATATATATGGTACTCCCCCCCCTGAGATCCACACTTCATGGTGTTTCCAACACTTTTCAAACCCAATGCAATGATCCAATGTACATTTGCTTGCCTCAATGCAACCAAACATCTGCTTGCCTCAATGCTACCAAACATTTGCTTGGCTCAACGCAACCAAAACAGTGTCCGGGCATCGAATTTCATGTTCTTTACTTAGACAAATTCAGACTTGGGATTTCAGACTTGAGATTCTCAAGTCTGAACAGCTCATCCACGGATCCAAGATCCAAGATTTCAGAAAACTCTTGTCCAGAAGTCTTGGATCCATGGATCCAAGATCCAAGATTTCAGAAAACTCTTGTCCAGAAATCTTGGATCCACGGATCCAAGATCCAAGACTTCAGAAAACTACTCTCCAGAAATCTTGGATCCATGGATCCAAGATCCAAGATTTCAGAAAACTCTTGTCCAGAAATCTTGGATTCACATACAAATGAATTCTCACAAAACACCAACCTGGGCCACTGGGAGTCATTTTGAGTAGATTCCAGCTGAAACCAAACAAGAGTCAGGTCCCTGTGATATAATATCATGTGATATCCCATCATGGGCCCATTACGCCTATCATCCTGGATCCTGATTGAAGTCTTGCCAAAGTAGAACTAAACAGCCGAACCGTCGTTCCAGATCCTTGGGACGTCCTACCGTTGCAGGCGACGCCGGGTGGACCGGCGGCCGTGGACGCGTGCAAGTCTGCGGAAGCTACGGACCCCGGCGCTTCCGGGGACGCGGCAGACGGTGCAGCGCCATTGGCTCAGGTTGTTGTGCGAGAGATGAGTTTCCATGGGGGCTGCGTCATGGTTGCGTGCTTTACCGGAGCGCTTCGTTTGTGTTCGTTTCGGTGGTTGCCATGTTGCACAACGCACTGAAGTCGTGCTGAACGCTTCATTGATCGCTCCCCTCGCTTCGAAGCCCCAGCCAGGTTTTCTCGTTTTGCGGAAGGGTACTATCTTCATGGAGGATCCTATTGTGCGATTAATACTGTATTCCTTTGATTTTATATCATTCTATGGAGCCCGCATAAAACGCATTGGCCGTGGCATGAACGCATCGCTCGCCAGTCGCACTGCGCTATCGGTGTTTAGATCATTCTAGTCGCCCTTATTTGGGTTCCTGTCCATCCCACATCCGTTTGGGTTCACTGCTTGGGATGGACTGGGTACGGCCCAAACGGGGGGTAGACCGAAACCTCCGAGTCTGAGGGTCCCATCCGCACCTTCTTGGAAGCGATTGGTGCCTCGTGAGCACGGGAACCAGACCAGAGACCGGTGGAAGACTGACTTGAACCGGTCTTCCAGAAACAATAAAACATATTTGCATTTGAATCAAGACGTCCCCCAATTTTGGAGAAGGAATCTCAAGTATAAGCTATAAGTATTATAGTGACTAAGTATTTGCATGTGTTTTCTGTTATGTTGTTATTTATTGTTTCTTTCGTGGGGAGGTCGACGATGTGCAGGATTCTCTTTCCGTTAACTAGTCGACCGTCCGAACAGTGCCGATTGGGAAAGCATTAGCAGCTGACATTCAGGCTGATTCTTTGGCCACAGCATGGCATCCAAGAGAATGTGTCTCGCACATTTGCCGAACTTGTCCACCGGTTCATGAAGACATCACACATTCATCTCAGTCTTGGCCAGCCAGCTTTGCCTTTCTTTTGAGTTGAGAGGACATAGCATCCTTTGCCACGTAGTCATTTCTCAGAAGATCATCTCAAAGTTGTTCAATTGCTCGCTTGCCAAGTCAAATTCCAAATATGAAGGGTTAGATAGTTGGTTATATAGTCAATGCACAGACTCCCTGTTTCAGGCTCTCTTGCTCCGAGAAGTCCCTTGACTGGACATTTCAGAACCAAAGAAGGCTTCACAAAAAAAGAGGAGGAGCAAGGCCAAGAAGAGAGTACTCCATATAGTACTATATCTTTTTTCACCTGTAACTCTTTGGGTCTACATAGATCTTTATTGTTGTTCATTCGATTTCTTTGTTTGCTCAGGAAAGGACGGTGACACAGTACGTCTCCAGACGCAATGTGACCCTGTCCGCCTGGCATGGTGTTTTCTGCCTGCTGTCCCGAATGACAGCTAGAGACTGGTTGGTTGGATAACTATGGAAAACGATTGCATTGACCAGAGGTTCCCAACAATTTTTCACAAAAAAAAAAATATATATCCAAAAGAAGCCAGAAACTGTTGACTGCTAGTTGAGTAGAACATGGTAGAACCAAAAACACACAGTTTCTTCATCCCCAACTTCCTTTTGGATTCCTCCAGCACAACCTTCCACCCCCGTGGACTGCATTGCCAGGTCTGAGTACGAGCAAGTTCAGCAGAGATACGAAGGGTGTGGAAACACAGTTTTCTCCACTGCAGTTCAGTTGTGACTGCTTGGTCTCAAAACTGCGAGGGCGGAACAGAACAGCAGATAGCTTTGATGTGTGTATATCTTGTAAATATTTGTAATATGTAGTATTGATTTTGACCTGAACAAATGTATTAATTATGCAATGTCATTGCATTATACATTTGTTCAGGTCAAAATCAATACTTGTAGTTTCCCGTTTGCCGAGATGGAAATTGGGAACTAGTGATCTCACTTGGATCTCCTTGCCTTTCAAGAACACTTGTTCGATCACTTGCTTGATGGAAGAAGAATTCAATCTTCCACAGGGTTCCAGGACTTATAGGAATTGGAATCAGGCGATTAAGACTGACTGCTTTATATAGGTGTTTTTGTTCTGTTTCAGTGAAGCATCGGTGCACCATGGTGGGGACCCAGTGGAATGGGTATTGTGAATCCAGTGGTTCTGGACATGGTTCAGTGGGCGTTGGTTCACGCATGCGTTCCGCGCGGCAGAGGCCAGCGTCTCACAGGGTTCGACACCCTGATGGTATTTGATGGCCAATAATGAGCGAATAAGATATACAAAAAAAACAATTGTGACAAAATATTGATGATAAACATAGGTAATTCATTGGTATAAATGATGTTGGACAAGCTGATGGTCATCAGAAGGAGCGAATGGTCGCAAGATGCAAGGATATGTTTTCCGAGCTTGCAAGACCAAGGGTTCCCATGAAGCTTGAATTCACATGAAGAATAGATTCTATATTCACTTGGGAGGGCTAGCAGGTAGCATTTGAGTTGCAGTCCAGTTGTATACCGTTTTCAGATTAGTTCCCCTATCAAAGATCATGACTTCATACTACGTATACTTTTGGTGTTCTACTTAACCCCCCCGGTCAAGCTGACTTTCGCAAAACTCACCAAGGCACATGAACACACTCAAAGTGCTGTGTGAGACAGTGAGGGCGCAGGGATGCCAATCGTCAGGGGTCCGGTCCCAGACGGTGGGTGTTATGACTGAATCATGCCCCCTTCACAAAGCCAAGTAGATCGTAGCCACACTGGCTTTTTTTTGCGAAACCGCATGAGATGAACGCTTTTGGGGGAGCTGCATTTGACATCTTTTGAGATTTGTTCAAGAGGACGCGTGCCGCTCTTTTTTTCACGAGAGCGCTTGCCGCTCTGGTAGCGACTCGATGGATTTGTTTGTTTGTCGGAGGATCTGGTGCGGGTCATTGAGACATCTCTACAACGTTTGTTGAAGGTGATATAAAATTGTATACAAATTGTATACAGTCTAAACATATTGAACTTTTATTGCATCATCTCATGTTGTACCAGAAATATTGTTGTTGTTGTCGGGGTGCTTGTTGTGGTTGCTGATGTTGTCGTCGCGGTTGTGGTCGTAATCCTTATCCTTGTCGTTGTTCTTTGTAATTATATAATATTTGTATATTAGTTTGTATATGTATATATATGCAATTATATAAGTTTGTTGTGAGTGGACATGTCCTGCTTTAGATACAACATTATGAACATTATGCAAGAATAATGTTCCCTGGTTGTGGTAGTTTCTCTCCAACACATGATACCGCTACCGACCGCTACAACCCACTTTGGGTGGTGCCTTTGCATGTTGATGAGAAAGGTGTGGATCATCCTGCTCTTCAACTTCTGTTGTGTGATTTAGCAACTGGGTGGGGTGTGGTATCGGGCAAGGCATATGACATATGCAAGTAGTACATGCACAAGTTGGCTGTCCCGAGGCATGTGGAGGCCAAACAGGAGACATTCAGCTTTGGCCACACCCAAACACAGACTTTCGGATTCTCAAATCCATATCGATTCAGCGATCAGTGGGCTGGTGGGTCGGCTTAGGCCGGAGAAGGAGAAAAAGATCATTCACCGCGGAAGCCGCGCCTTGGCATCCATCCGCGCCTTCGCATCCATCCACATGGTCTTCCAAGAGCTTTTGAGTCAACTTGGATGCCATGGATCCGATCCAGTCTGGCACTGCAACAGGTTGAGAAGCCCGGAATTGGATTCCATAAAGCGAGCTGTCACCACTACCTGGGGCAGTCACCCCCAAGCCGTCGTCGACTCTGAGCTCCGGGGAGGCGGCCTGAACTTCCGGGATCTCCAGGAAGAGAAGGACCGACTGACCAGTCAGACCGGGACCGTTTTCCGGATGCCTAGCGATATCTGTGGGGTGCGAGGTGTTTAGATGCCAAGCGAACGTCGGTGCAAAGGCGTTTATACAAAATGGCATGACTATAATTGTGTGATGAAGTTTATGAAGCGGCACGCAAGAGAATCCCACAAAGCACAAGCTAGGCGCTGGCACGGCGCTTGAGGTGCCGCTAGTTATTTTTGATTTCTATGTCAATTGCCAGAAGCTGTGATGTACATATGGCCAGTAGGGCTTTTGCTTTAGTTTGTTTGGTGGGATTTACGGGAGCTTGCCTTGTCAATGTCCAACAGCATGTGTTTTTAAGGCAAGGCATGAAGATGCCAACTATCCTAGTCACCTGCCATCCCAGTCATGCATAGCTGCCTGCAGATGAGCAAACATACGCACCTCCAAAAACATGTGATCGAGGTTTGTTCATGTTCATTTGCTTTGCTCCAACATCATTCATATCGAGGAGGCCGCCAGGCCTATGTAATGAGGAACACAAAAAATAACGAAAAGCACTTTAGCTGCGGCAGCTGGTCGCGGCCCAAGGCTTTACAACCGCTTGGGCCGCACAATTCAATGAGGACCCTGAAGGGACTTCCACCCACACAGATCACGTAGACGCACGGATCCAGGACTTCCAAGACTTCCTGGAACTTCGTGATCCTCTTTTGGGCAGCCGAGCTGGAGATGGGTGGCCCAGAGTTGGTCGCCAGGGTGAATTGGATTTAGGTGCAGACAACTGACATTTCTAATTGCTTGATTCACAGTATTCACAGTATTATTGATTACTGTTATTCCTATCAGAGTTCCAGTATTGATTCCCGCAGCAAACAGTGGTAACGGTTTCATAGGATATCATAGAATACTGTACCATAGTCTCCAAGGCGGTGTGAAGCAACCTGGTTTGGGGCATTTGAGGTGTCCATTTGCATGTGGGCTGTATACTTGTGTTGATCAAATTTGATCAGCAATGGGCCCGGCAGACTAACATGGACCCCTGGCCATTGCACAGAAGAATACTCTGACGCAGGGCCTGCATCCGCACCGTCCATGTTTTAGCCATTGCACACCTTTCCATGTTTGTCCGATGGGTTTCTTGATGAATCCTTATTGGCAGCTGACTGCCCGTAGACGGGTGTACGGGTGTCCTGTTGATTTTGAGTCTCTTCAACTTTCTGTACAACCTTGCTGCCAGCTTCAGGCCAGACCACGGAGCTGTTCCCCACGACAGGTTCGCAGGGTATATTGTTCACAGTGGGACAATTCTACAGGAAGATGCAGGAGGTCTAAATCGAGAGTTACCTTTCTACATTCCCTGAAATAATCATGGAAGTGGACAAAAAGCACCTGAAAGACTGTTCTTCTACTACAAACAGATGGCTCTCCACTTCCATGTGAATGACTCGCTCGGAGGGTACTGTCATTCCTAGAACTTTGTTACGACAAAAACTCTTGCCGTTTTCATGAAACGTCGCCTTTTTCAGTCCTGCGGCGGCGTTCTTCCATATGGATCTCATGCGGTTTCGGTCAGTTGACGGCAATTTTGGTCCACGCATCCATGTGCCTCAAAGGGTTATAATTATATATATTGTTAATGCAGGTGAGTACTGTATGAAGACATGATAGGGTCGCTGGTAAGGTATTCTTGTTGAGAGGCGATTGAAAGTAAGAGGCATTTCATTAAATCAGCAATTAGCATAGTTGTGCTTTACATACCTTGACCAGATGTGAATCACCGTGTGAAGTGGAACGACAAGTTGAATGACTCTATAAACCTCCCTGTTCACGCTTAGTAGCGGGCTTGTCATATGAATGGTTCGTGTAAGCAAAACCTTGGTGTGCGCAAGGTTTGCGTAAGCTTGTTGTGGAAGATAAGAGTTGCGTAAGCAAGCCCAAGTATCAGCGTGCATGTCATGTCACAGTCACATTTACACACCGTTGCACTAAATAATAAAAAAATATATTTATGGACAAACTTCATACACCAGTGGACCACTGAAACATGCAGGGTGTGTTTCTGACAAGCTGCTTGAACATCCTTAGAAGACGTACAGAACTGAACTGAAGAACAACCAATCAGTTTCAAGCGTTTGGTGTCGGAAATCCGCATAAGTACCGCGTAAGCTCGGCGTAAGCCTGTTGTGCCCAAGCCATGTATGACTTGTTGGCCGCTCATTGCCCAGCGGCAGATGTAACAGATATGTTAGAGATCTGTTGCATTCAGTGCTTGCCAAGTGCCAATCCTTTCAAACCAGATATGTTTGCTGGAAACGCGGTGTGAGTGCTTTGCCTGGAAAGCAGATTGCGCGCAAGCTGTGACTGGCGCAGTGCTAAAATTCATGGGCGTAAGTGTTGCGTAAACCCCTTGTTGCAAGAACTGCGCACGTAAGCTGCTATTGTGATCGCGTGAGGGGCGCGTAAGGAGTGGCGTAAGAAAAATCTTATCACGTAGACAGATGCCATAAGTTTTGAGAGCCGTTGATGGAAGTGCCACATACTGGGATTTCGTCGGTGTTCGTGAGTAGCTCGACCTTTGCGCAGCCTTGCAGAATCTCCAGCTTTTGAATTGCTGCGTTTTTGACCGTACTAACAGCGTTTTTCATCGTTTTTTTCCCTGTACTAACCCTGAGGATCGAAGTATGCAAATAGCTCATTGTCGGATAAGTATATCAAATAGCATCTACTTTTCCCGCAACCCTCCAAAACGTATACTTATCGAAAAACTTGTCGGAAACTTGCAATAACCTTGGTGGATCTGGATCATGTGCTTTGCAAGTTGGCTCCATTTAAATGGTGAGGGATGAAGCGAATGGACTTGAAGCAAAAGCAGCCCTACATAAACTGAGCATGAGGGAACCACATGCAATATCGATACATTAAATGCACTTTGATTTAGGAGATCACCAGGTGCATTTTTAGGAAACCATCAGGTGTCTCACTGTGCATTAGAGCCGTGAATGAAGCGTGCCATAGCCACGCACCGGGTCAACCGCGATGTGGGACATCGTGGTGTTCGTGCTGGCACGGGGGGCGACGCTTCTGTTGAGCCTTCCTGGAAGAGATCTAAGAAGTCTCTTGATGGTGAGGTGGGTGTTGGCAAAACGAGATCTAGAGGTCTCGAGTGTGGTTCCCTTATGCTGTTTTGAATCCCTAGCGATATATGTTTAATATTGCCTTTGCTCAAGTCCATTGGCCCTGCAAGGTGACTAACATTGTGGAGCACTTTGGTGGTGCGCCTTCCGGAAGCCGGGGTGTGTTCTTGGGAGATAGTGGTTGAGGGTGGTTGAGGCATCAAACATGTGACATGCCATGGCTTTAAGCACTCTGGAGAATTTAGATATTTAGATTATCTAGCAGCTCCAAACAGTTCTGTTTTTTGGGCTGGTAGGGTTCAGGCCACCCAGTCCACATGCGAATCGCATGCACCCCACAGGCTGTTTTCCCAACCAAGCGGGTGCGTTGACGTCACCGAAGCTCGTTTGAGCTTGCCTGCGCCATGGACACCAAAGCGCAGATGTTCATTTTGGAGGATTCCGGGCACTGGTGGTGTTTGAGAACCTAGTGGAACCTAGCATGTTTCTAGTAGGGTCATATTAGTGAAGTGTCTCTTAGATTGTGTCGGGCCATCCAATGCCCTGAGGACTTCATGAACTCCTGGCTGCTGGAGGATGGGCAGCTGGATCGTGTTCGGAAGGAGCTTTGGTTTTAAACTCATGGTCCACAACCTAAAACGCATGTAAGTTGAAATTTGCAAATTACCACTAAGGTTTGTAGTAGCTAGCTCCTTTTCACTTTTGCTAAACCACCCCACTGAGGACAAGGTCATACTGCAGGTGCCCACTGATGGTCCACTCAGTGCTGACATGGCTTCTCATCTTAGAGTTCATTACGTGTTTTCTTTCTGCTGAGGGATGCCTAGAAATCTCTTGGGGAAATGTGTATGCTTAAAACCGTTCAATCAACAACGGAGGTTAAGCCCCATTGGCGATTCATCATGGGCTATTTTGCGAGCTTCGACGACTGCATCATTCCCAACCTGAAGTGCCACACGGTGGCCAACTTCTGAACTGAAAACAGTTTTACATGTTGTGTTAATCCTCTGGTGATTTGGTAGCAAACTAGTTAAAATTGAATATCTGATCTCCCTGCCAGGCGGTGTTGACTGTTCTGGCCAAGCGGTACATGTTGTTGGGGGAGAAAGTTCGCTCCAAAGCAATCAAAGCAACTTGGCATGTTTAGATCAAATCTTTATTTAGTAAATCCTGTCACCACCAAAGCTGAATCCCACCTCTGATGGGCATTTGGTGGGGGTGTATACAGCGTGCCTTTAGTGGTGTCTGGTGTAAGGATTGGGCCGAAACAGAAGCTCCCAAGATCAGATGTGCTCTGGTGCATTCTTTGCAGTTGGCAAGACGGACCCCAAGGGCAAAGTGCCCTGTGATTGCCAACCTCAAGCAATTTTTGTTGAAGCTGCTTGTATCTGCAGGCGTGTTATTCTGTTCTTTTCAGGAAGACTAGTTTTATTTAAAAACCAACTGAAATGTTCCTTTTCAAGGCGAAACCTTCCCCTTTCCACCACAAGAACTTCTAGCCCTTCAGGTGGTGATGCCAGCCAGGTGGATTATGCCATTCAAGCCGCCATTCAGGAGGCAAGTTTATATAGCGGTTTCCGAAGTGATCAACTTCGATACCATATATATTAGAACATGCAACCAATAGCAGGGCGATTGCACCACACAAACGCGATGTTCTACTTTGAAAACCTCCACTGTCGACTCAGACCCTGGAACCTCGCCTGCATGATCAGGATACTCGTGCATCGCCGCCGCCTTTCAATAGAGCTTTGACCCCGGGAAGTGCTATTTCACTGGAGTCAACACCGGCTACCACAGCTACCCCACCATCTGTCGCTTCAAAGATGGTGTCCTGCTCTAGATTTGTTATTGTCTAGCTGTCAGCTTTTATGTACAAAACAAAACATGTTCTTGTCTGATGTGGTTGCGTCTCTTTCCCAAAAACAAAACATGCATGTATGGAGTCTATAATTGTATATCTAATTGGGGTGATTCTGAAGTGTTTTATGTCAATACGGTAGGTCATACACGTCAATAACAGTCTGGGTTTGGCATACAAGTGAGGCTGTATCTTCCCCTGATGAGATGGAGACCCAGTTGTGCGCCGACATGGAGGCAATGCATTTGGATTTTGAACAACATGTTCCTCCAGATCCATGTCCGCATCAGCATGTTCAACACCGGAGACAGGCCGACAAGGACCACAAACAAGATCTGCTTTCAATTCATTATTAGAGGGGGTGGGTAACATGTACATTGAATCATGGTGCCCCTGGCCAAGCTCCCCAGGTGTTATACACATGTTGTCAAACTCAGGTGGGAATAGAGCTTATAAAATTTAGAGATGGTGCTCTTCTCACATTGCAGGACCGGAAGCCAGTGCAACCTGTTCCAACCGAGTTGACCGCTGACTTTGAGAAGGAAGCCGAAGCTGAATTCAACAAGCTCTATCCGGAAGCTGACGTTGAAATGGATGTCCATGCTGCGCAGCTCAAGGCCATATATACTTAATGTTTGAAGAACGTGTTGTTCAAACATGTGCCTGATGAATATGTTAATCATCATGACCCTTACCGCCTACCCTTCTGCTACCGCTCGTCCTTCAGGCCCAAAAAGCCCGGCGGATCACTGATGCCGAGCAGCTTGTGAACAAGGCATCAGCTGACAAGAAGGTGCAGAAGGTAATTGGGAAGAACAAACCTTCCGGGCGTGGCCGTGGTCGGGGCAGGGGCAGGGGCAGTGCGAAGGCGAAGGCCAAACCGGCCAGTGGGGTTGAGGGTCCCGAAGAAGAACATGGGGAGGATCCCGAACATGAAACTGAGGAGGATGATGACACTGTGGAACCAGAAGCTGCTACTAGTAGCAAACCATCTGCTACAGCGAAGGGTGGTGTCAAGAGTGGTGACACCAAAAATGGTGATAGTGGCAACCTTCCTGATCTCATGAAAGAACGCTGGGAAGCGGTGGAACCATGGATGTATTCAAATAGCTTTTGGTTTAATGACACTAACAAGTCTATAAGAGACTTTTCAGTAAGTTTTATACTGTACCCTGATGAATTTTAGAATCCTCACTTCTGCGCAACTTGCTGAGGAAGACAGCTTGAAAAAAGCTGGAATTCCAATCCCTGATAGCGCCAAGATGAAGAAAAGCTTCA